ATATATAAATATCATAGACTGGCATTAAAATTTTCCACTGACAAATCTCTACAGCAAGAAAATAAGTTGTTCTAATAGGAATGATAAAGAATTGTGTTAATTCAAACTATGTGGGTATCTACAGATTATTTGATCCACATCTGGCTTTATTTACAGATAGTGAAACAATATATATTTTGAACTAAGTTGCATTTAGTTATCTAGTGTAACATCAATTCCCTTAGCATTTAATTTTGAATTTTTATGATAAAGACATTCTCTTATAAACACTGCTAACATTGGTTCATTTAGTATGTTTTTATTTAAAAAGAAATACCCTCTAGGTCTTTAAAATAAACAATTCTCTTACCTAAGAAAAATGCTAACATTCTTCTTATTACTACCTTAAAGCAATTTCTCCCATGAGTCTTGAGAGAACAACATATAATACAGAGAATAATATTCTTAGCAGCAGTACACTAAGCACTGCAACAAGTTTCACAGAACTGTTTTTTCAAAAGCTCTTCCACTTAAGCCAAAATGTAATCCAATGAAAGCAAAGCTACTGTGAGCTAAAATGATATGGTTCAGATAGCTGTTTGCTAGGCTAACTTCACCAAAGGATAGTTTTTAGACTCTTTAGAGCTGTGATCTTCCAAGTTCTTTTGAACATATGCCCCAACAGTTTAAAAAAAAAATTGAGCCCACATTCTCTTTATATATAGTTTATATATTCATAAGCTATATATAATTACTGTACTCATATATTTATGTTATAAAATATATACACAATGAAAAATTTAAAAGGATGAAAAACAGTAAGCATTAACAGAAGTTCTATTATTTTCTTCCTACCTTCCAGTGTTTCATTTTTTGCACCCTTTGGGATGATTCTCCCTATTTTGAAGCAAACAAATACAAAGAAATGACATTCCTCCACTAATAATTTTTTTTCTCAACTAAACTTTTAAGAAAACAATGGGCAACATAACTTGAAGGTTATTTTTCTGACAAATACCTAGAGTATAGCTATGAGCTGGTTAGTGTGGAGTCACATACTTTTATAAGTCAGGTGGAAGGGATGGGAGGAGTGACAGACATCCTTTTATGTGAGTTGAGGAACTTGATTAGGACACACATTTGGCTAGAACTCTACTCCTCTACAGAGGCAGATCATGATGTGCCAGGAACAAAACACAGGCAAATGGATGACAAAGTCTCAAAATTCTGGGCCACAGGTCAGAGCAATACTCTAACTATAATAATATACCTATATAAACACATATTCTTGTTACTTTTATACTTGTCAGCGATAAAATTAAATCTCAAAAATTTAGAATCAGCAATGTGTAGTTTCCAACTGTTAATACTGCATATCAATTTTTTTTTTTTTTTTTACAGAGTCTTGCTTTGTTGCCTGGGCTAGAGTGAGTGCCATGGTGTCAGCCTACCTCACAGCAACCTCAAACTCCTGGGCTCAAGCAATCCTTCTGCCTCAGCCTCCCAAGTAGCTGGGACTACAGGCATGTGCCACCATGCCTGGCTAATTTATATATATATATATTTTTAGTTGTCTAGCTAATTTCTTTCTATTTTTTTAGTAGAGACGGGGTCTCGCTCTTGCTCAGGCTGGTCTCAAACCCCTGAGCTCAAACAATCCGCCCACCTCGCCTCCCAGAGTGCTAGGATTACAGGTGTGAGCCACCGCACCCAGCCTGCATATCATTTTAAAAATCCCTTCTATGTCAATCTAGACTAGTGTTTAAAGGGTAATTCAATAGCAAATACTATTATGCAAAACAGTATGCAAAATCTTGAATATTCACTCTGGATAACTCTTGGAACAATAATCAGCATTTCCTCAGATTTTATTCAATACTGAGTCAGCAGTTATATTTTTCATACTTCTATATACTTTCATACTTCTCCTGAATACTGAGTCAGCAGTTATATTTTTCATACTTCTTCTTTCTATATTGGTATGCCTGCAATTTTTCAATCATAAATAATTTAGCAGTGACAGGTATCCTTACTCTGCATATTGTTCAAAAGCTTAGATGGGAGAGAATTAACATTTGTTGAGAGTCAAAATGTGAACACTGTGCTACATGTTTTATGGACTATTACATCATTTACTTTTCACAATTCTTAAATGGTCATAATTATTATTCCCATTTTACAGATTAGAAAACTAAGGCTTGGGAAATTTAAGGTCAAAGTTACACAGCCAAGACTCAAATGTACGTCTGTCTCGTGTCAAAGACTATGCTCCTTCTACCACATTGAAAAAGGAGTTAAAATAACTGAACCATTTCAAGGATATTCAGATGAAATGCACATTCTACAAGAGAAAGGTAACTCCATTCTGCAAGTAAAGTGTTATAAGCAATAATCACTAACTTAGCTAACAGCCGAGGCCTGGAAATCAACAAAAGACTGTCCTCCAATTATGTATTGTTTTAAGTGGTTTATGATTGCTCCACTTCTACCCTGCCCTTATCCTACAGTCCAAACACAAAGCTTAAGAAGGTTAGAGTTGACTCTACAAAATTCAGTTGCCTCTGTAATGCCCAGATCATTGCAGAAGCATAGCCCAACCCTGCCTCCTGAAAATCTTTGCCACAAAACACAGCACAATTCCCCAAAATTCAGTGTTTAAAGAACTAAAAGGCAAATAAAACTAAAATTTCTTTATCAATAACACCCTCTCCTTAAAGATCAGTTTTCTAATGGGTTCAAGATTGCAGTAAACTATATTAAGTAGAGAGAGGCACTTTTTGGGCAGCACTTCAATCTTTCAATTTATAACACATTTTCTCATTTGCTAGTCTTAGGCTTGAAAGAGACCTCAGAATATATGTGATTTTAGTCTCTAGCCAAATAAGCATTATTACTTCCCATTTTGTAGAGGAAGTAACAGAATTCTGTATCTTTAATAAAGAGTTGAAGGGACTGGTTATCTTCCAGTTTCTTACAGAATTATTTTTTTCAACCACAAGAACACTGTTTTTCCAGTAGGACAAGAGAGAGCTGACATTTACTGAGCATTTACAAAGAATCAAGCATATGTTATCTTTACTTCTCACACATGCCCCACATTTTACAAAAACTAACACAGAGATCTAGGATTTTGCTCAAGGTCACAACTATACCAAGTGGTAGAGCGAATTATATCCAGGTCTGGCCACAGAAAAAGGTCCAGGTAGAGCTTGTTCAATAACTTCATAAGTAAGGATAGATTTAAAGAAACAAATTGGACTTGTGGGATGAGGAATGACACTGAGACTGAAATCTGGGTAAAGCATCCAGTTTGAGGGAGGGCTTAATCTGCAGGCCTCTGCCAGCAGGAGCTGAAAGTAGTATTATGACCTTTACTTCAAACTCTCTAGTGCGACAAGCCACCTATCCAGCTCCTCCTTGCGTCGGTCAATATACAACAATTCGTGGAAGGAAAGAGGGGAGAATGAGGGTTTCATGGTGGCCTTAAGACCTTTTCGTGGCCGCAGAAGTTGAGAAGGCTCAAATCTGGAGGCCAGGTCTGGGTTTGAGCCGCGCATAAGGGAGCCTATTCAACAAAGGCCAGGAAAGGCGCTGCCTTGAGATTCAGGGGTTTATGAGAGACGGACGGAGAGAAGGTGAAATGCAGAGAGGTTAGGAGATAGACGGATTCACTTGAGCGGAAGGGGTTGGTGCTGCAGGATGCCTCTAGCGGCAGAGTTGTCAGTGGGCCTCTAAAAGGTCCATTTTAGAGGGAGAGGGAGGGAAGGTCTTGGTGGGAGCCATTCTGGGAACATTACCTGCTGGGTGGTTGTACAACGGCCTCAATTTTTCGGGCAGCATCAGCTCCACTTTGTCGAGGAGCTGGTGGTAGGCGGCCCGCAGGCCTCGGGCGCTGGCAGCAGACATCTCCGCTGCCGAGTGATCGTGGGCAGACGGGTAGGAGCGTGGCTGTATCCTCGTCCCTGGCTGACAACGAAGGGCAGCTAGTCACTTTCCCCTGCCACAGAGCCTGGCGTCTCCCTCTCCCTTAGGGTGCCCTTCCCGCGGTTGTGACTGTCCCCCAGTGAACCACCACTCAGCCCGCGCCCAGCGCAGGCTGAGGGGGCGGAGGCTCGGCGACGGCCCGCCCCGAGCCAGCCTCCTTCCCTCCGGCAAGGGAGACTGAGGAGGAGTCATGGCAACAGGTGCCAAAGACATTGCCTCACCAAGTCCACCTAGACCCCTGGTGACAGCGCGCTTGCGCCCGCGGAGCTGCCCTTCGTGATTGGCCTGCCCCGAGGCGTGGGCGGGGTCGAGCCAGAACCTCCTACTTCTCCTTTCTGCCCTAGAGGCCATGTTGGAGAAGGGAAAGTGAAGCCGCACCTGCTCTAATGCCCCGTCACATTGACTAAGGAGGCCCGCAGTTAAAATGGGCTTTTCGGGTCTTCCGTGCCCCAACTAAAGATGACGCCGCACAACTCTCTTCTTTTGAACTGAGACTCGTGAGCTAGAGACTACAGACATCAGCTTTTTCTCTTTCTACGCCTCTTTTATCCATAGAGAATTAAGGATTTGGCTAGAGCGGCCTGAATCTACTCCTCCAGGGTGAGGGAAGCCGTGGCGCGCACTGGCCTCAGTTCCAGGGTGGTCATCATCTCGCGAGAAATGCTTGGAAGGGAGGGTGTCCAGAACGAGGAGAGGGAGGAGTTGCGACCGCCTCCGCCTCCGCCTCCTCCTGTTGAAGGGGGGGCGGAGGGAGGAGACTGTTGCTGATCTCTGGATGTTCTGGGTAGTCTGAGAAGGAGAGTATGAAGCGAGCTCCGGCCCGGGTGCGGCCGGGCTTCGGGGGCCAGGGCGGCGCCGCAGCTGCCGCCACCTCGGTCTGACGCTGCGCCCGCGAGTCCCGGTGCGCGGATGGTGCCGGTGCGGCTCGGGTGTTGATCCGCGTGTCCCCTCCCCCTCCTCCCCTCCCCCACCGGTGGTCTCCCCTCTTACTCCGAGTCAGGCTGAGCCATGTCTCGGGGTGGCTCCTTCCCACACCTGTTGTGGGACGTGAGGAAAAGGTCCCTCGGGCTGGAGGACCCGTCCCGGCTACGGAGCCGCTACCTGGGTGAGCGAGGGCCCCAGGGCGGGGGCGCTGAGGTCGCCGCCCAGAGGTGGGGGAGGGGGTCGCGCCGCCAGGGCTGTTGGAGGTGGGACAGCGCCTCGGCAGGGGTGCCTCGGAGACTCTGGGGTGCTGGGTGGAGCTTTGGCCTCCGGACTCCGCGCCCGTGCCTACCACTGTCAAGCCCCCTGTGCATGCTGTCAGACGCCGCCCTTGCTAGGTTTTCCTCGAAGGGCTGGGCAATGGGCAGAAGGTACTGGGGCCTGGAAAGGTGTTGGGGTCGCTCCTGGGTTTGGGACTCAGGAGAAGACTTGCGGAACCTCACGGAGCCGCAGCGTTTAGAGCAAAAGTTGGCGCTTTTGCTCTTCTCCAGCGCTCTCTCCCCGCTCAACCCAATGAACCTAAGTTTTTGTTGACCAAACCCTCCTCTTCAGTCTCCGGAGGGTTTAGGTGTCAGCTGCGACGCGTTGACCACCCCCAGGGACTTCACGGTCGGAACACCCTCCGCGTAAACTGTTCTGCGGCGCTGAGCCAAAACCTAAAAGTGATAGCTGAGCTCTCCCCGCCCCCGCGCGCTTTCCCAGTTCACTCTGCTGTGCAGTTCGTTTTGACCGCTTAAAGGTGGTGTAGGGTTTCACGTTCCTATTCCCACCCCTGGAAAACACACTTGGCATTTACTGTTTCTCAGTTAAGCTTTCTAAAAACAGCCTTCGATACTTGAGGGAACAGTATTCTACTTTTTTTTTTGGTTTGGTTTTGGATAACATTGTTTTGTGAGGATTCTGGGTCACGCCTGTGTCAACTAAAAAGTTGTTTCTTGAAAGTGGACGTACTCAGTAAGGGTGTTTTCTCTTTCTTCCTGTGCATTCTTTTCATTACTTTTTCTTTTCGGAGGTAAGGCAGACAGCATCAAATAATTTTTTGCTTTCCAATTTATCACTTCTGGTTAGAAAAAAGTATTTGTTGGTGTTATTTGTTTTTGATTTCAAGTAAATAGAAGAAAATGAAATCTCGTTACAGCCAACAACAAACAGTTTTGGTTTGTAAATTATTTAAGAGAGGTTAGCCTGCAATTTCTAAATTCTTGCTTTTTAGTGATTCAAATAACAGGAATACGTTCTCCTTGTAAAAATTCACTAAAAATGAAGCAAAAATCCCTGTGATCCCTCTCATTCCACTTCCATCCTGCCCTTAGAGGTAATAATGTTTTCTAATATTTTTCCAGACCTTTTTCTTCTTACAAGCTCATATGTACATATAAAAATGCTGTAGGAGTGTGTGTGTGTGTGTGTGTGTGTGTGTGTGTGAGAGTGTGAGAGTGTGAGGGGGGGAGAAAGAGAGAGAGAGAGAGAGAGAGAGAGAGAGAGAGAGAATACACCTGAATACATAGTATCATTTTTGTAAACATTGTTTTGCAACTTGCTTGCTCTACGCTACATTTTGGACATCTTTCCATGGCACTAAAAACAGATCCATTTTGCCTTTTAAATTATTACATAGTAATTAACATTATGAAGTACCATAGCCTACACAACCTTCCTTCTTTAAATGAACGTTCACCATTACTAACAGCACTGCCAATGAACATCCTTGTACGTGACTTTGTGCATTTGTTGTGGGATAAGTACCTAGAGTGGTGATTAATCATTTTAAGATTAAACATCTGTAGAGAGTGCGTATTAAAACCGTAAACCTAAAAAGGTGTGCAGTATTTCTTTTAGAAGTTTTTTTTGCTGAGAACTTAATTTTAGTTTAAAACAAACATCAACATTGGTTTGCATGAATGAATGTAATTTGGTCCTAATCTCAATTATTTGGGCACTTTAAATAAGCGCTTATGTATAGTTTTATATGTTAATGTTTACTTCTGGTTCAATTAATTCAGCTGTATCTGTGAGTTAATTAAAATGTAACAAAACCATACACTTTGTTTTTCCTTACCTACTCTAACTCCCTAATGGAAGTGGAGTTTGTGTGTTGGGTACAGGGCAATTGAAGGTCCACTGGCTTTAGCAGAAAGCCTGAATTATAGTTCTTTAAATATGTGTGTGTGTGTGTATATATATATATTCAGGGAGTTCTTTACGTTAAGTAATATTTTAAGTACCATAGTATGTATTTGTAATAAGCACATTCTTGAAACAGCTTCCTTTAAAAGTGGTTTTCTAAGTATTTGAAAATAGTTTATAAAGAACAGTAATTTCTTGATCTTTACCCTTAGTCGGCCTTTGCACCATTAGTTTATCTAACTCTTCCACACTTCAGTGCGAACCTTATCTCTGCATTCGGGAAACAGCAAAATCCACATTAGTAGTGTCTGAATTAATGAC